GTTTGTCATGATAATCAAAGTAAAGAACTTCTCTTAAGATTAAGTCTGGTTAAGAAGGATCAGGAGTCTCCAATAAGTATTGAGTTTGTAACTCGAAGGTTACAACATAGTATGAAGAGCGGGTGCAAGATCGAGCACCGTATGTAGTAAGAAGTCTAAGAGATAAATATTCATTTGAAGGAACATAGAAGTTACGATTATTACCTAGGATAAAGAGATAATGTATGAAGTCATTGTACAAGTCCTGTTTTGTTAATGATTTCGGGACTTAATCATCCTAAGGGGGAGATAATTGTAACGCCCGCAGATTTGGGCTAGTCAAGTTAGAGACAATGAGCGTCAAAAATGACTTTTTGATGGAAGATTATTTAGAAGGACTAATCTTAACCAAGTTATAGTATATGTCACAAGGGTTTCGTACATATAAAGAACGCCGAAATCCGAGTTATAACGAAGAAGTTATGGCCCGTCGAAGTTTCGCGACAAAACCGACACAACGTTGTGTGACGTAATAAGTAAATTTTTGATAAACTACTTTTTAGTCTTAGGGATCTAACTGAAAGTTGTAGTATACATTAAACCGAGAGTGTGCATAAAAAGAACACCCAAATCTGACTTCGTATGAGGAAATTATGATTTTTCTAAGATTTGGCATAGCAGTGCACAGCCCGGAATTCAAATTTTAGATCGATCCATTTTTGGCCAACGCAACCTAAATAATAATTAAAGATCTCATTAATAGGAGCTCAACGATAAAATGACAGACGAAAACGGAGTCCGTATGTAGAAGTTATGAATTTTACATTGTCATTTAACAATGTAATCTTCTCATAGTGTTAAATTTAAAATTGATCGAGAATTAGCCGACGGAGTCAAAAGGAGAGTTGTAGATATTGTCAATACCTATGCGTGGATATAAAGAACGTCAAAAACGGAGCTCGTATGCGAAAGTTACGGATTTTAGAAGTCGGAAGTGTGTTGTGCGAAAATGGGTGACGTGGCACAATCCTGGCCATTGCTTTCTCCCTAAGGCTTGCCACTAGATGGTGACATGTGGCACCTACTCGACGATTTGGAGGCCCTACTTGACGATTTGAGCTGTATTTCAGCCTATAAATACCATGCGAGAGTGCTTTCATTCTTCACACCTCTCCCTCATTCTCTCTCTCTCTCTCTACACTCTCTCTAAACCCCCAAAACCCCTCCTAAAGCCCTAGTAGCCTCAAGGCACTAGAGGAAAGCCCCGGAGCGCCCGACGGCTCGGAGAAGAAGAGCTTTCGGCTAGGAAGTTCTGCTCCAGCGGAGCCCGGTTTCTAAGAAAACCTCGCTATAAGTGAGATACGTTTACCCTATTTAAAGTATAGCTTATATGGTGAAATTGTATATTTTGTGAGTTCTCAATTATATATATGATATAACATTGTGGGATTGAAACCCCTATGTACTCACCAGGTTTCCCAACCTAACCCACTAAGTTTATTTGTATCACAGGTGTCGATACAAAGCTACATTACACTGAGACTAAGGAGATGTAGATCACTAGTGTAAATGAATGCAAGGTTTGTTTATGCTTATGTTTCTATATTGACGATGACATCCCAATGTTTTAAAAAGGAATAAAATACATTTCTTCGGAAATGCTTTGATAATATATTTATCATGTTTTTCTGGGAACAAATTCCGCAACATGTTTCTTTAAAAGATACTCTGATTTTCAAAATAAAACATAAACAAATCGGTCTTTCTGGCCGTGAAAATGGGGATGTCACATTGGCCAAAGCTTCACTTTTTGTTTTTACCTTTATTTAACATCCTTCACCAAAATGGTCATTTTTTCTTTACTTAGTAACATGATGGTAGAGGGTTCCAAGTTCTGCTTGGGAGAAATGTGTAGATTAGTGTGTGTGCGAGTTAGCTTTTAAAAGAAAAAAAAAATCATGATTAGTGCTTGTCAATTTGCTTGCTTGTGAACTTTACTAGTGGACCATTCATCAAAGACCAAGTCATATATATGATCTTATATAGGAAATAACGTTTTGACCAAAGAACCGGAACTAGTTGGAATTGAATTGGTATACCTGGTATGGTTATTAGTTCTTGCAATCCTCCAATTTCGGTTTTCGGGTATATTGGTTTCGGGCCTATCAAGTTTAGGGTATTTTGGGTTCTAAACCTGCAAATGGTTCCAAAGCCAAGATGCCATTAAATTTCGGTCATAATCAGTTCCATATCCAAAATAACCAGCACCATACCCGAACCGAACTAGAACCAGAACCAGAACCAGAACCAATTCCCTTATATCGGTCCGTTCGTCGGTTCTTGCACATTATGTTGTTGGTTTTCAGTTATTTTGATTCTTGAGCCGAACACATCCCTAATTTGATGACTTGTGCAAGTGATACATATTGTTACATTGACAAAGTATTCTCATGGTCACCTTTTGACAAAAAATTAAACAATGATTAAAACAATTGGTTTCTTTTATTGGTTGTACGTAAGGCCTTGAGATGTACTAACACCACACACCACCGTTACTGTGGTGGTGCGGTGAACACCACACCGTTTGGTAAGCAGTGGTGCAGTGAGGTACCCTGCGGAAGAAGAACACCCCACTTCCTTTGTTTCTTTTTAGTTTTTTTACCTTAATAAATATACACATTTTACTTATTATTTCACAAAACTTTCTACCAAAATTTATCACTATTCAAACCTATATTTACCAAAATAAATCCACACAACCTTTCCACCAATATCACTTTAAAGATCTGACCGAAACAAATAGCATGGAAGTGGTTCGACGACAATGATTCAAAATATTTTTGCGCATGATTAGTTGATTTACCAACCACAACTAGATGATCCTATATTTTCGCCCCCACCTCAATCCCAAACCCAACAATTTCATTATCAAAATGTATCACAATATTACTCTATGCAACTTGTTGGTCCTACCTTATTTCACAAATTTTCCCCTCTAACAAAATAAGTTCGAGAAGCCAACCCCCAATTGAGTTGGAAATTGAGTTTCTATGGGAAACGCAACCAAACTCACCCGAACCTAACCATCCGACTCGAAAAGAAAAGGAAAAGCATCGACATTTCCAAGGATCCCAAGCACGGAAATGCGCAAGCAAACGACCTTTTTTGGCTATGCCTTATAGAGCAGTTTCATAAATAAATGGGTCGTGGTGAGTACCGTTTAAAACACCAATGTACAACCAAGTTTCGTGATACGAACAAGACGGTTAAAAAGTTCAACGAATGTATAACAACTTTAAAAGTCAACAAAAAATGGGGAAAATGATACAAACTTTTTCGAGACAATGATAGAAATATTTAAGATCAATAATAAAGGGATGTTGTTTAAATTTGTCGATATTTGGATGTTTTTATTCGGTTGCCAGAAATGGAGAGACAATTATAGAAAACACGAAGAAGGTGGCTCGAAAAGAACAATAAGTACAAAGAAGAGTTGCACAACTTCATCGGATGCTCGTTTTGGGTTTGACTTGAACCAAGATAATGAACTTGAACTTAACGAGATAGTCCGTCCGATAGGTAGAGATAAGGCAAAAAAGAGGGTATCGGTCTAATGAATCGGGAGCCAACAAAGTTGATGACATACACAAGATAGTTTTGAATTATATAATTTGAATTTCGAAGTTGTTTGCAATTCGAAAGAGAAATGACCAAGAAAGAAAAAGCGCGAGCAAAGTAGTAAAAAGCGTAAGAAAAGAATCGAAAAAATCATGTGTTGACCGTTTTTTGGAAGACGAACTTGTCATGGTTTTAAGGGCAAGAGAGGAAAAAATATTTGAAGTATACTTATAATATATTGTTTTTTATTTAATTATCGTTTTTATGTAATGTTATTTCTTATTGAATTAATGAAATATTCCTTTTTTGTTCTATTAAATACTTACAAAATTATTAAATTATAATTTTATATATTTATTCAAAAAGAATGAGAGTGAGACGTGACTATTTCATATCAATCGTAAAAGAAAAAATAACATGGCGATAAGGTGGCATGGAAAAAGTGAGAGGTCTAGATGTTACATTAACTAACATTTAACTAAATTATAACTAAGATTGTATGTTCGACACATTACAATTAATTTATTTTTTGAGTTTTTAAGTTGTGATAATTAGCTAGCTTATAAGTGTTTGAATGAAAAAATAAGTAACTGATAAGTTAGATTACAAATGTAAAATGACATAAATTGATATTATCTATATATTATATATATCTATATATATATATATATATATATATATATATATATATATATATATATATATATATATATAGGGAAAAGTTCAATAGAGAACCATAATTATTGGTTCTTCAAGGAATCAAATTTTTTTTTCAATTTCTAGAGCTATTCTTATCGAAAAAAAATCTAAAAAATATCTAATTCATATATTAACATTGTGAATGTGAAAATATTTTCGGATTCACGTGTGAATCCGGATTCACATTGTGAATTGACGTAAAAAAAAAATTGAATTGATATCATTGGAAAAATGATAAAAAGTTATGAATTTATGTATTTAGTTTTTTTTTTTTTTGATAAAAATAAGTTCTAAAAGTTGAAAAAAAGATTGGTTCCTTGGTTAATTATGGTTCTCTATTGAACCTCCCCCTATTATATATATATATATATATATATATATATATATATACTATATATATATATATATATATATAAAACTAGCTTTATATATAATTAAAGACATATTTGGAATATTTTTGAAAAAACTTCATAAACTTCTCAAAAACTATTTAAAAGTAGCTTATAAAAAACTAGTTTATAAGCTACAATAAACTATTTTTATGGTTTTATCAAATATGCAGTATGCCTGCAAAACCATCAAAAGTGAGAAGGGCATTTTGGGTAGAAAAAAAATGCAAAATGGTGATTAGTGAGCTCTCTTTACCTGAAGAAATTTGGCATTCTGGTTTTTGAATCATGATCAATGTCTGTAGTATTATCTAAATGCTTGTTGCATGTGGTGTAGCCACCTCTTTGCCGCCTTATGAGTCACCGGAAATGGGGCGGTGCCGCCCTATCAGAGCAGGGTGGTCTGCACACAATCGTTTTTTTGAGTATTCAAGAACAAGAATGAAGATGAAAGTACAAATGTATGAAAATATGCTGCTATTTCTTTCATTTAGGTCTTGAACATATGCTAAAGTATGGTTACCTTTCCTTTGAGAATATAGATGAGGTCCTCCCATTCTTTGCACAAAAAACTCGTATTGATTCTGAATGACATCTTCCTTTTTTTAGTTAGCGAAAATAGACCTAAATCACTCTTCTTCATCATCATAAACCCTAGTCATTGCAACATTTTAGGAATACAAATCAAATCAATAAATAAGCAACATTACTCTAAATCCTTGAAACCCGCTTGGTTGTAAAATTATATGCATTTTGATACTAATCCAACACCAAGTATCTAAATTTAGTACCTTTCTACGTTTTATTCAGAGTTTCTCATAAGCAATTAAGAAGTTTGCATAATTTCGAAGGTGGTAACCAGTATGAGTGCAGAAGTCAAGCACTAATCTCAAACAATCAATATTCAAAAGTGTGGATTTGTATCCATTAATTTTCTCAAACGCCCATTATTTGAATCAGCAAGGACCCCAAATAACGCATAAAACAATGATTATAGAAGCATAACTATGAATCTTTACGGATTTTACCGAAAGCCCATCAAGTAAAACAACAATGATTCTCAGAGGATGTTTGTTTTTATCTTTTAAAACAACTTTTAGCTTTCATCTTTGGGAAAACTGCAATAAAGTTCCTACATATTTGTCTCATAATCGATTTAGTTCCTATATTTTTTTTTATTCAATTAAGTCACAAATACCGGTAATCGTATTCAATTTAACCCTCTGACCCGGTCAACAGGTCATCCAACTTTCAAAATTTACATTTTTAGCCCAGATTTCAAAATTTATTACAAGTTTGGTCCAAAATTTACACTTTTGGCCCATATTTTAAATTTTGTTACAAATTTGGTCCAATCTTTACCCTTTTTCCCCAAATTTTGGTCAAATATATATTATATATATATATATATATATATATATATGCACACAAATAGGCGTGTATCTATTTTTTATTATAAAATCGTGTTTGTATACATTTTATAAAAACGTGTTTGAATAATTTTTTATATAATACGTGTTTGTATATTTTTTATAAAATCATGTTTGTATACATTTTATAAAATGTATTATATAAAAAATCATTCAAACACGTTTTTATAAAAAAATGTAAACAAACACGATTTTATAAAAAAATATAGATAAAATAGGTGTTTGTATTCATTTTTTTTTGTAAAATACGTACGTTTTTGTATACATTTTTTTATAAAAACGGATTTGTATATATTTATATACTTAATAAATACCTATTTTTATAACTAGATATTTCATATACAAAAAGCTTTTTAAAAAAAGTTTTTATATAGAAAAATATAAGTTTTATGTGAAATACGTTTTTTGTATATAAAATATGATTTTATAAAGAAAAAAACATATTAGAAACAATTTTTGAGAAAAAAAGTTGTAAAAAAAAAACTAAAGTTAGGATGAATTCATAATAAAATTCTAAAATTTGGGCAATAAGGGTAAAGTTTGGACCAAATTTATAACAAAATTTAAAATCTGGACCAAAAGTGTAAAATTTGGAACAAATTTGTAAAATTTACTTTTATACCCCCACTACCCTAATCAATTGGATACGTTCGTTACTCTCGTTCTCCTTTTTTCCGCTCACCCTCGTTCTTCTCTTCTCTGTCGTTCACAGATCCAGTCGTTCAAGCCATCGGCGATCTTCTCTGCCGGCGTCTCCTTTCTCCGTCTCCGATCAGGTAAGTTTAAACTCCGATTTTGTTTTCGTTTGTGTCGATTTTCGATTTTCATTAGCAAAGAAAATGTCGATTTTCGATTTTCCTGGCACTGTATGTGATTTGTTCCTTCGATTTTGATACCTGTGATGTTTTGAAATATTGATTATGAGAGTGTATGGATCTGAAATATTGATTATCATACCCTAAATACAAGAGCTCTTGAGACGGCCCACTTCTCTAGAAAACCCTCTCGGCCCCGCTCTCCTCCGAATTCCTCGCGTCACCGTTGTCTCTTTGCCGGTGTGTTTTCAGTATTTCTTGAAGGAGGCCGCTGCTTGTCGTCGAAAGAGAGAGAATTGAACGGTTGAATTAGGGCTTGTCGTACTGTACGTGTAGCAATCGAATCTCTTATCGTTGTTTCACTGCTCCGGCCGATCCACGGATATACTGTTAACACTGCCCAACCCGGTCCGCCTTCAGGTAGTCACTAATTCTCCTTTACTCTCGCCTCATGTCTCTTCAATGTGCTTGATTTAACAACCAAAGTACTTGAAGAGGTCCCTTTTCCATCATCCTGGTTTGTATCTTGTGTGACAGTACCAAGCCCAATTCCAAATTTTACGGAATTGATGATGTACAGCGCCAAATTGTTGCTATAGAGCAAAAAATTTGGAGCAAGCCATTAAAATTGCATAAAAAAATATAGCATCAAAGTTCTACCTATAGTATGAACTATTATACTTCATATCTCTTTAAGTGAAACTGTTTATGCACGAGCTTAATGAACGCCAGAAAGGTCACTCTACCACCTAGACTTAACGGTTTTAGAACACTTTCATATTTGTATGAACATGAGTCCCTTAGAAATTTGGGAACTTTATTAAAGTATTTGGTATTCAAATATAGTTTTCAATAACAAAGTCATGGGACTTTGTATACATACATTAATGAATGTAATGGTTGTAATTTCTAACCATAAAAAGTAAGTATTTAGAAGAAGACCATAACATAAAAACTTGTAAGGACTTCTACACGAGGATTTAGTTCAGAAAGTTTCAATTTGAACAATATTATCAACAAAAGCATTTTAGTGAACATTCATAGCATAGACAAAAAGCCAAGTGTTGAATCGACAAACATTATAGGTATTTTTTACCATCTAACCACTGTGTAATTATCGATGTGGAGTTTATTTACCCCTCTTTCTATTGCATGGTGTTTAGGGTGAACATGAAGCTATACCCACAACACGAGGGTTAGAGACGAACTAACTTGTTTTTTTTGTCGATGGAGATTCATTAGGTATACAATCAACAATGTGGCATGAGATTTTATTAACATTGTAGAAATCGTTAAGAATTAACAAAGAGTTATGCAAACCAAAGGAATCAATGCTTAGCGATAGGGGTTTGATAGTTTGAATTGGAATGCAGTGTAGTTTTAGCTTGTGGCCATAGCTAAGCTTTCTTGTAGGTTGACCATTTTAACGGCCTTGAGTGGGGTTTATGGAAATGGGAAGTGATGTAAATTGGTTTTTTGTTGGATTGTGGCCATGCTTGTTACATCATGCAACTATGTCACTGTTTTATTCATGTGATAATGGCAATTGTCATCATAAGTATCCTTCTAGTTCCTTTATGAAGATGGAATGAATATGGACAATGGTACATGTTAAACTCGACAAACCAAGCATTAGTAAGCATGCATATTGATTATCCCATTATATATATATATATATATATATATATATATATATCCTTTTGAGGTTATCATAACTTCTCGATCTTTGTTCTTTTGCTTCTTCCCTTCTTATTGGCATTCCAAATGAATAATGAGTTGAGATAGTAATGAAGGCGTACTTCATGTTTGCCTTTTTTTTTTTTTTTTTTTCGATCAAGATATTTACATGGCGATGGTTTTGAGTTTGGCTTTAGTAGTGTTTCTCGTGCTCTACCTCTACCTTTTTCACATGGTAGAGCCGTGCTCATATTTCTCTAATCTCCGATCCTTTTTAGAGTCGTCTTAAGATATCATGATTTTAATATCATAATGGTCCCTTCTTTCTTCTTCTCCCTTTCTAAATCATATGCAAATGTTAGTGTTCAGTATTAGACTATTAGTGCATGATGCTTAATGGTTTTATACTTGCAAACAAGCAAGATGGGAGTTGATGGATCTATCATACGTTACTATTATCAAGTTAGTAATGTATTCGTGCTTGATGGCTAAAGACGAACATGTAGTTGGTTAAACAAAATGATTCTAGTTGTAGATTTTGATGTTTTCTTAATTATGTCTTGTTTTCAGGTTTAGAATTGTTTGCATCTACCATCAAATTGGTGGAGTGTTGCATATTCTATATGGAAAAAGTTGATGAAGATGCTAACCTTGAGTTTAAGTGGCTTATAAAGAAAGGCCGTGGTGGTAAAAATAAAGAGGTTCAATTTTATGGATCTTTCATATACGACGGAGTGAAGTATGTGTTATATGATTGTGTGTATATGTACAAGGAAGGTTTACGAGAACCTTATATTGGCAAGTTGACAAAAATATGGGAGAATGCTGATAAGTCAAAGAAAGTTAAAGTCCATTGGTTTTTTCGCCCGGAAGAGATCTCCAAGTGGCTTGGAGATACAAAGACTCTCGAGAATGAAATTCTTTTTGCCTCCGGTGAAGGTGTTGGTCTAACCAACATTAGTCCTTTGGTAATTGAAGTTTTCACATATTATATTTTCTATCATTTATTTTGCTCAAGTTATTTTATGGATATATACACAAGTTCTAAATTTTTTGAGAACAAGATACTACTCAGCGTGACTTCAAAGTTTCTATGTTTCGTTAGTAGTTGTCACTTAACAATTTGTGATTACTACTATCGCATCTTGTAAAGTATACCAAACTTGGTATGAGCATTTGTTGTGTACAATCATTTATGGAATTGTGATACTAGCAGTGTCATAATTAGTGAATGACAACTACTATCAACAAATGTTGCAAGTATCATGATAATAAAACCTACGCGACGTTCTAAGAGATGGTCGATACCTATATTTGTTATGTTTGACTTTCTTATTATTACATTTATTTGGAATCTTGTAATAAGTACTTTGAATTAGCTAAGTATTAAAAAAATAAACAATTTTGAATATAAGATGGAACCAAGTGTGCTTAAGCGGTTATTTACCCCATCAACAAGCTTTCTTTGCCTACATACCAAATTAACTTCTTTGTGATTCTTTAAACTATCTAATTTCTTTCCTTGATCCTCCATGTAGGCATGTAGGAAACATAACGACTTAGGAATAACGTATTAGTGTATTACATTGACTATCTATATCAAGAATGTTACAATGAAAAGTATTGATTAGAGGAGCATGAGACGATGTAAAGAGATAGCTTTAGTTCTTTATCCTATGGTCATTAGCCAATATGTTTATGTAATTAAGGATATGCATAATCAAGTTCTATTTGCTTAAGAAAACATTATAATGCGATCTATGTCTCCCATATAGGATATAACACCAATTCAAGCTTCTTTTGTGCCTTAGATAGATAGATGCACATAAAAGGCGTAGGTTAAGTCTATTGTGTATGCTCTTTGCAAATCGTATAGTGGTGTAGCTATCAAAAACACTCTAGAATGGAAGAGGGCTTTGAAAAAGTTAACTAATATAGACTTATGATGTTTAGGACTATAGGTCTATGCTCTTTTGAGATAAGTCGGCCTAACACATAGGCCCAAGTATGTACTTGTGTATCTTAGTCTTAAGTCGCAAAACAACTAGCAAAGGGTGACTTTAGTACTTCTATGTTTAGCTAGTTCTATTTAAAGAGTGAAGGTGTATCTTGTGCTTATCATCGAAAAAAACTATCGGTTTGATAAACATTTGCTAGCATACCTCTTAAAAATAGACATACTTGTTTGTTTACAATTTTTTTGTTGTTCAAGTGCGTGTTGTCTCGGATAATACTATTGGTGACAATAATCTTGGAGGTAACTGAGGCTTTGAAGAGCATGGCTGTTCTAGAAACGAATTTTGGAGATGATCATTTGAGGATTGCAGAGTTGTTATGGAATAGTGTTGCTTACACCACTAGAGCTTGCCAAAGACGCACTTTGAATGTCATGTATGAAAGCATAAAGAATCATGATGATAGAGCGAGGTCCAAGTTTAGGTCTAGGTAAAATAAACTCGCTTTAAGGAATTTTTATCAAGTGGATAGGGAAAGAGGTGGGGCGAAGGAAAAATATAAGGATGCCAAACAAGAGGTGAACAAAGCGTTAAAACATATGAAGAGATGTACATATGATTGGACACAAAAGCCAGAAACAAAGAAAAAGGGATATAGGAAATGCAAGATATAGTAAGAATGACAACGATTGTGTTGCAGTGAAAGATAAGGATATTAAGAGGAAGGTGGTTAGTTACTTTTTGTCTTTTACATAACGAGGCAACTTTGTTTGGTGAGGGATAAGAATGTGGATGGCATTAAACGGACATAAAGTTAGTGTTTCTGCATGAAGATTAAAAATGAGCAAGTAAAGAGAGCAGTATGGATGAGGAGGGACAAAACCATAGGTCTAGACTAAATCCCTATCGGTGTGTGGTTGTGTCGTGGGTAGGAGGGAGTTTGGTGGTGACAAACCTCTTCACATTATTTTAACAACGACCAAAATGCCAAAGGAGTGGAGAGATCGAGTACGGTGATACCAATATACAATAATAAATGACAACTGTCATGGTAGAAAGCTACAACCACATAAAAAATTAAATCGGCTTCTTGCTAGGGAGGTCAGGCGGCGTAAAATAGTGGAAGAAATAGGGATCTTCATATCGGCCTGGAAACATCGTATGATAGTGTACCATGAGAGATGATTTGGAGGACTCTGGAAGCTAGAAGGGTATATGCGATAAATATTATCTCTCTATGACATGTATCTAAACCCTAGTTGGCGACAGTTTTTCCCATTAGAATTTAGGATTGAGCTAAAGGCTAGGTTAGATACTTGGAGTTTGTCATTGTACGTAATGATGGTAGAGTAGAAGTAGAAGTATGTATCAGAGAGCAAATATTGCATTCAAAGGAAGAGTTTATGTTCCATAAAGAATGTTTTTTTAGAATGATGTTAACCATTACATTTTACATTAAGACATATAGTTGACTTTTGTGCGACGAGAAGATTTTACTGAAACTAAGGGGAAAATTTTATACGGTGGCTTGCAAACACTTTTTTATCTAAATTGATGTATGTTGGATGAGTGCATATGCTAATTCTCATCATTATTTGAGCAGGAAGCCATTGCTGGTAAATGCAATGTTGTTTGTGTGTCAAAGGACTCGAGGAATCCTCAACCTTCAGATGAACAACTTAAAGCAGCAGACTTCATCTTTTATCGTACTTTTGATGTTGAAAGCTGTACGATATTGGATAACATGGATGAAAAAATTGGTGGGATTGAAAGTATGTATGTCTTGTTCTACCTTAAACCTTTTGCTTTTCAAAACTAGGTCAATTCTTGTATTCAATTTTCAACTTTGTTACAGTTAAACACATATTTAACAGAAGGGAGGATGAAAGCATCAGCACTCTCCCTGAAACTACTACTACTACTACCTCTACTGACAACACCATTACCATTACTACTTCTACTAGTAGTGAACCAAAGCAGCTGCTTTTAACAAAAACCCTGCCTAACAGTAACAACCTTAAAGATGATGATGCTCAAGACAAAAATATTCCAATTTTGGCAGCTGAAATAACATCTGTAGCTCTTTTAGAAAAAACAAATCCCAAAATAGATGAAAAAGCTGATAAGCATGCGATGGAAGCTAACAAGAGAAAGAAGAGTTCTACTACAGGATCTGATAAATTACATGAGCAGCCCTCGAAGAAAATGAAACTTGATGATAAAAACCTTCCCAAGGAAAAACAGGTTGAAGTAGTAGAAGTTGATCGGGATTCTGTGGGATTGAAGGATGTGATTGTGATGCCCTCCAAGAAATCCAAGGTTGACAATAATGTGAGGACAGGTGGCAAAAATTCAGAAATAGGTAAAACTGATACTTCTGTTGTTAAAACTGACAAGGATAATATGAAGTCAAGTAAAGATAAAGATGAGACAAAAGTGAGTAAAGTCTCTACTGTGGATAAGGAGAGAAAAAAGACTCCAATGGAATCAGATAAATTAGATGATCGACCCTTAAAGAAAATGAAGTCTAAAGTTGCCAATGAAAAACAAAAACAGGTTGAGGTTGAAGGCGAAAAGATTGAGAAATTGACGGATTTGCCCTCCAAGAAATCTAAAGTTGAAGATAAGTCAGCACCCAATGAAAAACAAAACAGGTTGAGGTTGAAGGTGAAAAGATTGAGAAATTGACGGATTTGTCCTCCAAGAAATCTAAAGTTGAAGATAAGTCAGCACCCAATGAAAAACAAAAACAGGTTGAGGTTGAAGGTGAAAAGATTGAGAAATTGACGGATTTGTCCTCCAAGAAATCTAAAGTTGAAGATAAGTCAGCACCCAATGAAAAACAAAAACAGGTTGAGGTTGAAGGTGAAAAGATTGAGAAATTGACGGATTTGCCCTCCAAGAAATCAAAAGATGAAGTCAAGTCACCTCGCAATGTGAATAATTTGGGAACATCAGGCACACAAGAAGAAAAAGCAAACGGAAAGAATAATTATAATAAGGGAAAGATTTCAGATGAATTGGAAGGCAGGAGATTGAAAAAAACAAAGGCTGAAGGTTCTTTTAAGATACCAGATAATAAGAAAAACAGCAGCTCTACCATTAATTCCAATGGGAAGAATTTGTTAGTAGCAAGTGAAGGAAAATCAAAATCTGTTGTTGTTAATAATAATAATAAAGAGAATCAATCTGAATCCAATGAGAGCAAAAAGAAGCTTTCCATGAGCCAATCACCCAAGGACATGTACAAGGAATTTGTTGTTGGTCCAAAACCAAATGCTGTAAGTTGCTTTTTAGGAATTGTCATTTTCTTTTATTCCAATAAGGACATAATTTTTTTATTTTTTATTTACAGGATGAAAGCGGTTGGTTTGAGCGACTTGTAAGTCTATGATGTTATTTAACCTAATTTAGTACAAGTCTCAATCTCATTTATTTTCCATTTTGTTTTAATTTGGTGTTGTTTTCAATTTGATGTATGTAGCCTTGGGAGCAAAGTTTAAAGAGTGCATATGATCAAGGATCAGCCATACTGCTTCATAATGTTGATCCAGACTATACTTCAGGAGAAGTTGAGGTATAATATTAATATTGAATTGTATGTTGGTTTTTTTCTTTTTATTAAATTTCACTTTTTTTTTTACCTCTTAGGATCTAGTTTGGCATGCTTTTACTGAAAATTGTGAAGCCAAGATTCTACCACACTCTGTAATATCTAGTCCACACTGTTGTAAGTCTTTTTTTTTTTTTTTTGGAAAAGGAAATGGAAAGATAATTACTATAAGTCGATAATTATAAACTTTTATTTTTTAGATCAAGCTCTTGTTCTACTCAAGACAAAGGAAGCAGCACAAAGGGTCCTTGCAAAACTGGATGAAGACTGCTTGATGTTATCAAATGGGAGGTAGTTTTTTTAGCTTTTATCAGTTTTTAATGGTTGAAAATTATAATTGAAACTTGTTGTTGTTCATGTTATATTAAAAATTTTAATTATCATTTTTTATTGACAGGCCTCTTGTTGGTACCCCTTGTCCTCCTATCATACCAAGAAAAACTTGCAAGTTTTTTGGCCATCTTTCTATTGATAGGATTAAAATCAATCAACGTGAGATGGTATATATTCCCTCTCTTTCTCTCTTATCAATATATGTCTCTATGTATGTGAGATTTATTGATTTTTCAGGAAGAAGCAGTATCCACGTCACATTTTTCACAACCAAATACTATTGAATATGACATGGCCATGGAGTGGTTTTTAATGCAATCAAAGTCCATAAAATGGTGGGAGATGATTCACAAGGTTAGAATTTGTCATCATTTTTACACATATACTGTCTGTCTATCATCTTTTTATTTTTTATAACCCTTTGTCTTTTGATCCATTTTAGCTTCAAGGAAATGAGGTAAGAGAGCTGGAGGCCAAGCTTGTAAAAAAATGAGATTTTGATCAAAACATGCTTCTGCAAAAGGAGTGGATTTGTTGATAGTTTAGAAATAGTTTTGAGGTATGCTTGATGACCTATTAATTTTAAAGTTTAAACTAATGTGGCTTATGAATATTAATAATTCTTGATTTGTAGGAAAAAATTAGGGTTTGTACAGCACCACCTTGAAGGAAGGAGCCACGGATGATGGTAATTCCCAGATGATAGCTGGTGGTAACATGTATTTTGATGGATCCTTATTGAATCCTCTTGGTTTTTGTGGGATCCAAAAATGGTATCTACCATTTTTTCTTTTTATCTCTATATTTACTTTTTGTTTTTACCTTTATTTAACATCCTTCACCAAAATGGTCATTCTTTCTTTACTTTTCTTTACTTGGTAACATGATGGTAGAGGGTTCAAAGTCCTCCTTGCGAGTTAACTGTTAAAAGAAAAAAAATTCATGATTAGTACTTGTTAATTTGCTTGCTTGTGAACTTTACTAGTGGACAAATTATCAAACACCAAGTCATATGATCTTATATAGGGATGAACGATTTGACCAAAGAATCGGAACCGGTTGGAATTGAATTGGTATACCCAATCCTCCAATTTCGGTTTTCGGGCCTATCGAGTTTAGGGTATTTCGGGTTCTAAACCTGCAACTGATTCTAAAGCCAAGATGCCATTAAATTTCGGTCATAATCGGTTCCATATCCGAAATAACCAGCACCATACCTGACCTGAACCGAACTAGAACCAGAACCAATTCCCTTATATCGGTCCGTTCATCGGTTTCGGTTTCTTACACATTATGTTGTCGGTTATTTCTATTTTGATTCCTGAGCCCAACACATCCCTAATTTGATGACTTGTGCAAGTGATACATATTGTTACATTGACAAAGTATTCTCATGGTCACCTTTTGACAAATATCAGCAATTATTAAAACAATTGGTTTGTTTTATTGGTTGTACATAAGGCCTTGAGGTATACTAACACCACACACCACGGTCCAGTCACTGTGGTGCTGGTGCTGTGAACACCACACCGTTTGGTAAACAGTGAGGTACATCCGGAAGAAGAATACACCACTTCCTTTGTTTCTTTTTAATTTTTTTTTACCTTAATAAATATACATACACTTTATTGTTTCACAAAACTTTATACACAATTTTATCACTATTCAAACCTCTATTTACCAAAATAAATCCACACAACCTTTCCACCAATCTCACTTCAAGATCCGGCCGAAACAAATCACGTGGAAGTGGTTTGACGACAATGATTCAAAATATTTTTGCGCTTGATCAGTCGGTTTACCAACCACAACTAGATGTTCCTATTTTTTCACCCCAAGCCCAACAATTTCATTATCAAAATGTATCACAATATTACTCTATGCAACTTTTTGTAACTACCTCATTTCACAAATTTTCCCCTCACAGAATAAGTTCGGGAAGCCAACCCCCAATTGAGTCGGAAATTGAGTTTCTATGGGAAACGCAACCAAAATCATCCGAACCTGACCATCTGACTCAAAAGGAAAAGGAAAAGCGTCAACATTTTCGAGGATCCCGAGCACGGGAATGCGCAAGCAAACGATCGTTTTTGGCTACGCATTATAGAGCGGTTTCATAAATAAATGGATCGTGGTGAGTACCATTTAAAGCACCAATGTACAACCAAATTTCGTGATATGAACAAGACGGTTAAAAAGTTCAACGGATGTATAACTTGAAAAGTCAACAAAAAGTGGGGAAAATGATACATACTTTTTCGAGACGATGATAGAAATATTTAAGATCAACAATAAAGGGATGTCGTTCAAATTTGTCGATATTTGGATGTTTTTATTCGGTTGCCAGAAATGGAAAGACAATTATGGAAAACACGAAGAAGGTGGTTCGAAAAGAACAAAAAGTACTAAGAAGAGTGATGAGAAACATAAATAAATAGATAATGAAACTAAAGAGAAGTAGGAAGAATTAGAGAAGAAGAAGATGATATCATTGAATCTAATGAAATGAATTACAAACTATATTGAATGAAGTAAGAACCTCAAACAATCCCAGGGAATCTCCCTCTCTCATTAGCTAAATGCTAAGAGCCAATAACATTGAATATTACTAATCGACCTCTCGAAAATGAAATTACTTTTCCCTCTTTATTCTACTCTCTCTCTCTCTCTCTCTCTCTCCCTAACTGACTTTCTAGCCACTTTCCATTTCTGCCCTTCTGCCCCTTCTAGAATGCACATGTAATATTCCTAGTTTATTTATATCAAGGCCCAACAATTCTGAATCTATATCAAAGAGTTGCAGAACTTCATCGGATGCTTGTTTCGGGTTTGACTTGAACCAAAATGATGAACTTGAACTTGAAGAGATAGTCTCTCCTATAGGTAGAGATAAGACAAAAAAAAGAGGGTAATTTGAATTTAGAAGTTGTTTGCAATTCGAAAAGAGAAATTGACCAATAAAAAAAAGCACGAACAAAGTAGCAAAAAACATAAGAAAAGAATAAAAAAATCATATGTTGACCGTCTTTGGAAGACAAACTTGTCATGGTTTTAAGGGCAAGAGAGGAAAAAATATTTCATGTATACTTATTTTATATTGTTTTTTATTTAATTATCTTTTTTATGTAATGTTATTTATTATTGAATTAATGAAATATTCATTTTTTATTATATTAAATATTTAACAAAATTATTAAATTATAATTTTATATACTTATTCAAAAAAAAATGAAAGTGAGACGTGACTATTCATATCAGTCGTGAAAGAAAAATAACATGACGATAAGGTAGCATGGAAAAAGTGAGAGGTCTAGATGTTACATTAATTAACATTTAACTAAATTATAACTAAGAATGTATGTTTGACACATTACAACTAATTTATTTTATTTTTTATATTTTATATTTTTTTTAAGTTATCATAACTAGCTAGCTTATAATAGTGTTTGATAAAAAAAACAATGTTTGATAAAAACTAGCTTTATATATATAATTGACAAAACTGCAAAAATGGGCTCTGTGGTATGCATTTTTCCTGAGGTTTTGTCCACACCTCGACTTTTTTGGCTCGGTCATTTTGAGTTAGTTTCGTTGCGTTTTTTAGTCCCTCCAAAATAATGAAATGACTGTAATACCCTTGGTTATTTATTTTCTATTTTTTTTAATTTGTTTTTAAATCTAATACTAACTTATTTATTTTAATAATTAAAAAAATAAGAAGGGGCCGACCTTCTCATCACGTATCTTTTAGTCGATGTATAAATTGAGGAAAAATATTTGGGGTGAATCAAAAATGCTTTTGAAGATATCTCGTCTTGCAGGTCCAAATTGAGGTAAACGAACATCTCCTCCCTTAGTCCCCTCTATGCTACCTCCATTCCTGTGTTCGTTGGAATCAGTGAACAGAATTGGGGGCTTAGGGCAAATTGAGGAACACAATCCAGTCTCAAGGTTTTCGATGGAATGGAGAAGAACAACAATTGGATGCAGATTGAATCATATTTCAATTAGGAATACACTAAAGAACTCGGTCTACAAATATCCTTTCGTCTTCTTCAAATGGGATTTACAAACATAGAGCTTGAAACATGCAAAATCAAATCCGTTCTCTCCATCGAGCAACCCCCAGAACCAGTCGATTGTCTCTTGACCTCTGCCTCGCTCTCTCTTCGACGAATTCGTTGCCCACTGTGCCCTCGATTTTTGGACTCGCTGATTTAACTGGAGAACAAAAAGAAGTCATCGTTGAAGATGAGGTATCGGGGGAAGTTGAAGTTGCAGGTGTGTTCAACGGATTCCAACACAAATGTGCCGAAATTTTGACGAGAGATAGTTTGACGATCGTCTTCCCACCACCACCATTTATTTACGTCTGAGTTTTCTGGGTTCTTTAGATCGATTGAAGTGGATTGATTTGGTGTGTTTTTTTCTCCGTTCGGCACGGGTGAAGGTTTGATAGCATCTAATCCCATTTCACTGTTTTAGAGATAAACTTTCACACATACAAATAGGGAAATTCTTGATGGGGTTTTGAAAAATTATGGGATTTTATGATATGGGTTTATGTTAATCGATGATTGAGGATGAATATATTGAAGAGCATTATTTGCTTGTGTGTTACGTTTATGGTTTTGTACATTACTTTGTATGATTGCAGCGATTGAGCTACACATTGAACATTACTAAATTGAGAGAGAGCGAGAGCCTTCTTATATATTTAATTATTAAAATAAATAAGTTAGTATTAGATTTAAAAAGTAATGAAAATAAATGGAAAATAAATATCCAAGGTATTAAAGTCATTTCACTGTTTGAAGGGACAAAAAAGGCAACGAAACCAGCTCAAAATGATCATGAAACCAAAAAAGTCGAAGTTTGGACTAAACCTCAGAAAAAATACATACCTCATGGACCATTTTTATAATTTTGTCTATATAATTAAAGACATTTGGAATATTTTTGAAAAAGCTTGATAAACTTTTCAAAAACTATTTAAAAATAGCTTATAAAAAACTAGTTTATAAGCTATAATAAACTATTTTTATGGTTTTATAAAATAAAAGCTAGTTTATTTGCGTTAAATAGGGTTTTAGACTAGGCTTTCAAAAGCTTTTTTTAAAATATTCTAAATATATACCTTATTAATTTATAAAAACTTATTAACTGTCATTTTATATCTTCCAACTATAGTTGGTACGCAAAATATTACCCGAATTTATTTCCGCAATTTCAATGTAATGGATAAAATGTTTTTTCTGACATCGATAAAGGCTTGCCTAATTTGAACTCCCTTTTAACCATGGTGGAATTTTGGAGTCCAGAAGTGTCCATATTAGCAACAAATATGCATTTTTCGCAATTTATATCTCTTTTTATTTGGATATACACTACAATATGGTCCCTATACACACTTACTTCCCTACACCTTTAAGTGGATCTCTAGGATTTCTTCACAACTCTACATAGTTTCTAACATATAAATATCTTTGAAATGGTCTAGGGTTAAAAGTCCTTACGACCTTGGTATACTTGTGAAGCATCAAGCATTGGACATTAAAATTCTTTGTTAGAAAAGCTTACAACAAGAACCACCTTTGTTGGTATCAAAAGAGATTGCAACTCTTTTTTTTAGTTTAATTGGACTTCTTACATGATCTAACAAACAATTTTCAAAACAAAAACATTTGGAATATAATTTCTTAAGTAGAGAATAGAAGAAAGTGACTAAGGAACATGTTAACCAATGTTATCCATTTATAATCATGTAGCTTGAAAATATTGTAAAATCCCCTCTAACACGTATCACAATATTGTTCGCTTTGAGCCACTCAGCACGAGGACTTCGCAGGGGGT